GGTCCGTGTGTGGGATTCCGCTCTATTTCTGAAAGTGATGGAAGGAGTGACACCACCTGACTAGGCTTTCAGGGGACTACTGGCCTGCTGTATTGAGAAAGACTCTAGGGTGCGTGATGGGTGCAAACAGGGAAAACAGCTGGAAGCTATTGAAGAATTAAGGCAAGAGATGATGTTAACAGTTTGGACTGGACAAAAGCAGTGGGAGTGGTCAGAAGTAGATTCTGGTTATATTTTTTAAAATATGTTTTTATTGAATTTTAGAGAGAGAATAAGAGAGAGGGAGAAGGGCAAGAGATAGAAACATCAATCTGCTGCCTCCTGCACGTTTCCTCATCACTGCCTGGGATTGAGCCCACAGCCCAGACATGTGCCCCGACCAGGAATCAAACAAGTGACCTTTTGGTGCATGGGTTGGCATTTAACCACTGAACCACACTGGCTGGGCCTGGTTGTATTTTGAAGATAGAGGGACACTATGGGGTTGAAGAGAGGAGTCAGTGCCAAGGTTTTTGGTCTAAGCACCTGGGAAAATGGAATTGCCTTTTACTGAGGAAAAGACTGCAAGGAAAAACAGGTCTGCGGGGAAGGGCAGAGTTAAGTTTGAGGTGCTTAATCTAGGTAGAGTTCTACTTGACTGTTGGCTACAGGAGTCTGTTCAGGGGAATGATCTTGGCTGAAGGTATAAATTGGGAAGTCAACATCCAGGTGGCTTTAATGCTGTGAAAATGGCCGAGGTGTGAGAGGAGATGACACTCTGACGCCTTGAAGCAGAGGCCATGGGAAGGGCCAGTAAGAGAGACAAGAGGAGTGTGAGGGGTCCTCAGAGTAAGCCCAGAGAGGAGGGTTTCTGACAGGTGAGCATGAGTGAATCTGTGTGCTGGCATTTGGTAGCATAGATAGTGAGGTTAGGGCTGAGCATTCATTATTGGCTTTAACACTATAAAGGAGTCTTTTGGAGAGTGGTGGAAAAGACTGAGTGAAGTGGGGCAAGAAGACAGGAGAGCCATAGCAAAAGTGAATATGGGCATTTCAGGACACCATGCTTAAAGCGAAGAAGACATATATTACAATAGCCGGAAGGGAGATTAGGAACAAGCAAGTATGTTTTCAGATGAAAGCACAGAGCGCACTGAAGAGATGCTGTGGATGAGAGGCTCCCAAGAGAAGGGCCAGTTGTGGAGCACAGTCTTCTAGTTGCCACGTTGGGATGGTACCCAGGCGTCATAGGGGAGACAGGTCTGGCAGTAGAGACGGTTCTCCATAGTTGGAGGAAAGGGGTGAAGTAAGGTGTGCTTACAGATGAAGTGGAAGAGCTGATGTATAAGTGGAAACTTGTGGCAGCTCTCCTCTAATTGCCTCTGTGTCCTCACTGAAGTAGGGAACAAAGTCATCACTGGCCGTCAGAATGGAGGAAAAGGTATGAAGTCATCCCTCAAGAAAATGGAGAGGGGATATACTGGGTGGGTGCTTTGGCCGCCAGAGCCCACAGGAGTCCATGCTCACGAATATGAAATGGAACTATTCATCACAGTTGGTGTGGTATTTTTTTCAACCGTTTTGGCTGTCTTGAAGGCATGAAGTAGGTAGAAAGTGAGATTTAACCAAACTTGTAGGTTATGGCAGGTGAATACTACAAAGCAAGAGGGAAAAGAATCTTGGGCACATGCAAAGGGTGGAGTTTTAAATAACTGACCCTGGACTTTAAGAATGACAGAGGTAAGAGGGTCAGTGTGATCTAGATATGAAACCTTTGCTTGTGGAGAAAAAAACTAAATGAGGAAACTACACTTTTTTATTTTTATATTTTACATTTTCTAAATATTTTTTAATAAGCATGTATTACTTTTGTAATTGAGGAGAAACATGATATTTTAAAGAAGGACATTTGGGAGAAGAGCAGCACTGTAATCAGGATTTGAACATAATTAGAGGCAAGTTCTAAAATTAGAAAATTGAACATGCTTGGGAAACAATTTTTCTAAAAACAATACTTAAGATTAAAATATATTAAACTAGCTGAAACCGGTTTGGCTCAGTGGTAGAGCGTTGGTCTGCGGACTGAAGGGTCCCGGGTTCGATTCCAGTCAAGGGCATGTACATTGGTTGCAGGCACATCCCCAGTAGGGGGTGTGCAAGAGGCAGCTGGTCGATGTTTCTCTCTCATCAACGTTTCTAGCTCTTTATACCTCTCTCCTCCTCTCTGTAAAAAATCAATAAAATAAAAAATATATATATTAAACCAATCTGATAAATTTGAAAAGTGAAAGGGATAACTGTCATTTGCAACAGGATAAATAAATAATTATCCAAGAATGGCAGATTTTTTTCCCTATTATTTATAAGGGAAATGTAATTCTCAAAGCAGCAGAGACAAGATACTATAAATAGTAGTAAAACTGAACGTTTAGTACCTAGACTTTCTTAGCCTCAGTCGTATACTGGCTTATCTAGTCCCTTTACGTTTTGGGCACTGAAAAAAAAAATTTTAAGTATATTTTTTATTTATTTCAGAGAGGAAGGAGGATAGAAATAAAGACATCATCTATGAGCTGCCTCTTGCACACTCCCTGCTGGGGATCAAGCCCGAAACCCTGGCCTGTGCTCCCACCCAGGAGCTGAGATGTGGCCTCCTGGTTCGTCAGCTGATGCTCAGCCACTGGCCACACCGGCTGGGCAACAGTGAAAATGTTTTAACTTTTTATTTGAACTAATTTTAGACCTTCAGAAAAGTTGCAAAAATAATAGTTTCCAAAAATCAGCCAGCTTCCCGTAATGTTAACATCTTGCATAACCATACCACAATTATTAGAATCAGGAAGTAAACATTGGTACAATAATATTGCCTAAACTTTAGATTTATTTGAAATTTTTTACTATCCATTTTCTATTCCAGATCCCACTTCTATTTAATCATTATTTCTCTTTAGTTTTCTCTAGTCTTTAACACTTCCTCATGATCTTGACACTTGAATGGACTGATTATTTTTTAGCATTTCCCTCAATTTGGATTTGTCTAATGTCTTCTCATGGTTGAAGTTACACATTTTTGTCAGAGTTACCACGGAAATTATATATTTTTTCTTCTCAATATTGTATCAAGGGGTCAGTGATATTTGGTATTTTTTATTGCTGGTAATAGCAACAACCTTAGTCACTTAGTTCAGATGGTGTCTGCTGGGTTTCTTGTAAATAACTGACTGACTTTCCCTTTGTCTATAATAATAAAAGCGTAATTATATGCTCATTAGACTGGACATCCTTCCGAACAACTTTACGGATGAAGCCGGGCCTGCGAGAGAAGCCCAGGCCCCAGATGCCAGAGGGAAGCCCGGTCCCGGGTGCCAGGGGGAGGAAGGCCTACTGTTACACGAATCTCATCCATCGGGCCTCGTAATTAATAAATATCTGGGAGGAGATTCACATCCTACTTTACTGCAAACTTTCACCCATTTATTTAGCATCCATCAGTTGATTTTGTTTGCAGCAGTTATTACTGTGGTATTTACCTAATGGTGGTTTTTTTTTCCTTCTACATTCATTGGAATTCTACTGTGAGAAAGAGCTGCCCCCTCCCTCCTCATTTGTTTCTTTCATTTATATCAGTATGGACTGTATGAACAGTTATTTTTTTCCTATGGGTTAAAATTCAGTACCTTTGTTTATTACTCCTATTATTTCAGCTTGGGCCATTAGGAGTTTTTTCAGATTAATTGCTTTATTTTTTGAGCACTTCCCTTTTTTTGCATCATAAGATGTTCCAGGCTCACCTTATAAGTTCCCTGCCCCAGTTTTGGAATCAACTAAAGTGAATCCTCATTTAATGTCAGTAGGTTCAGCAAATTTAAGCAAAAAAATATATAGCAAAACCAGTTTTACCATAAGCCTGTTGATACAAACAAGAGTTAAGTTCCTATAGCATCTCATCAACATTAGAACGAAACAATGTTGAACAAAATGACCTTATTCGAGGACATGTAGCTCTCCAAGAGAACCTTGGATCCTTTTTTTTTTCTTTCTTTTTTTTGGAGAAAATGGTATTTAGAAATAAAAATCTGAGTGCTAGATGTGCTTCTTGCTACTGTGGCTTCATCGCTTGTATGCCCTTTCAGGCATAAAGAACTAAGAAATATGTTTTATGTTCCAACTTGGATTTCCTTATAACTGGTTCGTTCTGTCTGTTTGGGGGATATATGAAAAATATGTGGTATATCATAGACCTCCTCAGAGTCAGAACTTCACAGAAAGATGAACTCAGGGAAGTGTCACTCTCCCCTCATCGTGGCTGACCCAGCGTTGGTCCTTTCCCCCCACCTATACTCAGTCCCCGTAGTTTCTGGTTTATCTTCCGTATGTTTTATACAAAGGTTCAGATATCTGTATATTTGCCTATATTCTATCTCTAGCCTTTCTTTATAATTCTAGTCTTTCTTTTGTGCTTTTCTTTTTCACCTACCAGTGTGTTTGGAAATCACTGGTAGAGATCTTCCTCATCCTGTTGTCAGCTGCATAGTGTCCATTATAAGGATGTGCCATGCTTTACCCAGCCACTCTCCGGGCATGAGCTAAGATAGATTGCTATTAGTACTTTACAGTTACAAACAGTGCTTCAGTAAGTAACCTCATACATGCGTTTTCATATTATTTTACTATCAGTGGAAGTAGAGAGCTAAAAGTGGTATTGTCAGGGGAAATGTGTGCATGTCGCTCTGCTAGGTATTACCCAGTTTTTTTCCGGAGGGCTGCAGAAATTTGCATTTCCATCGGCCATGTACAAGTATGCTTGCCTCCTATGGCCTCGGGGACAGAATGTGTTCTCACTCTGGCATTGAAATTTTAACACTATAAACAGGTCATTTTGGAAATCCTGAGCTTTCTCTAAATGTCTTTAGTTATTTTTACCAATAGCATACCAAATAGTAAATGGCCATATTGATGGTTCCTTGCATTTTTTAATCTCACATATATAATGAAACGGGGGTTGTTTGTTCTCATTTTAGGTCTTGCTCCTTTGGTCTACTTGTCTGATGAATGCTATAACTTACTGGCAATCAAGTTTTGGATAGATCTTAATGAAGACCTAATTAAACCTCACATGTTAATTGCTGCGAGCAATCTCCAGTGGCGACCAGAATCCAAATCAGGAATTCCTACTTTATTTGCTGGAGATTTTTCCATGTTTTCTGCCAATCCAAAGGAGAGCCATTTTCAAGAGACATTCCACAAAATGAAAAATACTATTGAGGTAAATTTGTTTTGAACATTACCACACTCTTTTGATATTTTCCAAATAGTTTGAGAGTCAAATGTCAAAGGAGAGGCAGCTTTTATAAAAATTGGATGTTGAGATATATCAGGTGAGGTTTTTAGCATACGTTAATTGCTCAGAACCTGAGGAAATGAGGAAATGGTAAGAAGGATTTTCAAACTACAGACTACATGTGTAGGCAAACTGGAAATTGGTGAGAATAATATGTAGTTCATATTAGCTGGTAGTATAATTAGTTAATAATATGTAGGTTTCAAATATACATTTTAAATTCCATACCTAGTATTTTATACAATTTGGATCTGTCTCTATGATGAAGTAAGCCCAAGTAGGAGAATACTAAAATTATTTTCCTTGGATCATATGCTTTTTTGCTGAGATCTATTTATACTTCACATAATAATATTAGCTAGTTTATTGGAAGGCTCACTGTTTTTCAGGCCTTGTTCTAAGCCTAACGTGATGAAGTAGGGAACTTTTTTCCATTTTTCTTATGAGAAACACAAGTTAAGTCACACAGCCAAGTTGGTAGAACCAGGATTCATAGTAAGCCACCTGAATACAGAACACAATTATTAACTACTATGCAGTGCTGTCTCCCAATAAAATTTTGGATTTTATAAATTCCTACTAAATAATATATAAAAGATAAACCTCTTCTTAGTTCTATAGTTTAATGTTTGAAAGTATGTTATTCAAAATTTATATAAATCACATTTTAAAAGCATTAGAGTAGTTAGCTGTATATAGTAAGTTTGTGTAATATTTACCTAAAAACTTTATACAGTGAAGATAGCATCTGATATACATGGTTTCTAAATGGGTGTGGGGGAGGGGTGGAGTTGAGGAGGGAAATTACTTCATTACTTGGCTCTCATAAAGAGAACCTACTATTTACATCCCAGCTTTCTCTGAGACCATCCAAGAGCAGTTCAAAGACACCTTTTATTTACTTTTATTTGAAAGTTTTACAAAATACTTTAATGAATTAGGTTAAACCATATGAATTTGCTGATACTTCACCACTTGTGACTTCTGAAACAACACGTTATTTCAGTTAATCCTTGGAACAGACGTGAAGCCATTCTCTCATTTTACTCCTAACCTGAGGACTGCTCTGTAGATGTTGGATGATTTACAGCTATTAGTAGTAAATTGAGAGAGAATTTGAGTCTCAGTCTCCCAATTCCTGAATCATAGTATACCTTGCTAATTAAACTGGATGGCTGGCAATGGTTGTTCTCTCTCTCCTTCCCTGATGCATACAGACACTCTCCCTCTCCCTCCAACAATTGAGCTCTGCTGAAGCACTGATGTTGGATCTGCAGTTTTTTCATTAGCATGATTTTACAGTTGCTATCAAATTTGGGATGTCTCATTCTTTCTTTCTGTCTGAATATTTTAGTTCTGGATTTAAAGGTAATACTTTCTAAAAACATGAATAGGTGGGTTTGCATTTTATAAAATAGCTTTTTCAATTTATTTTCTTAGAATATTGATAGATTTTGCAGCGATGCAGAAAACAAGCTTATGCATATGCTTAATGCAAATGATCCCAAGTGTTCCACCCCAATCAAAGACTATACTTCAGAACCACACAATGTTCAGACAGTCCTTGGTAGAGGAAATACGTTTCTGGTAAGTTAATGTAAATTTAAGGAATTTTGTAAATATATAAAGATATTCAGGTATACATCTAGTAAACATGGAAAAATTGAATTAAATTTAATTAGAAAGTGTGATTGTTATGTGACTTTATAGGTATAGCTTATCTGGAAATTATATATACTTTTAAAATATATTTTATTGACTTTTTACAGAGAGCTAGAAACATCAATGAGAGAGAAACATCCACCAGCTGCCTCCTGCACACCTCCCACCAAGGATGTGCCCACAACCAAGGTACATGCCCTTAACCAGAATCAAACCCAGGACCTTTCAGTCCGTAGGCCAACGCTATATCTATCCACTGAGCTATCCGGTTTCGGCTAGAAATTATATATATATATATATTTTAAATATATATATATATTTTTTTATTTCAGAGCTGAAGGGAGAGAGAGAGAGAGATAAAAGCATCAATGATGAGAAAGAATTATTGATTGGCTGCCTCCTGCACATCCCCCACAGGAGATGGAGCCCACAACCCAGGCATGTGCCCTTGACTGGAATCGAACCCGAGACCCTTCAGTCTGCAGGCATACGCTGTTATCCACCGAGCCAAAACAGCCAGGGCAAATTATATTTTATTTATTGAAGGCAAAATGTAACACTCTTTGGGGGAAAATTTTGGTTTATTCATCTTAGTATTTCAGGTACATGTGATAGAAAAGACTTCTTTTACCAGTACCTTTGTGCCAGGAGGACTATCCTATATAATAAAAGCGTAGTATTCAAATTGTCCCCTCCACTGGGATTTCAAGGAGTTTGATCAGGGGGCAGGGCCAGCTGGGGGAAGGGAGAGAGGCCCCGGCCAGCAGCAGGCAGCTGCAGATGACTAGGGGAAGAGTGAAAGTATCCAGCCAGCAGCCTCTAGGGACCCTACGAGTGCACAAATTTCGTGCACTGGGGTTGTTTTTAAGCTCATTTTATTTAACTCTTTAAATCACAGTAAATGACTACTTTTTAAGTAGTTAAAACTTGGGAAGTGTATTTATATTAACTCATTACTTTCACAACAACCCTCTGAGATAAAAATTGTTATGGACACCATTTTACAGATGAGGGAACTATGGCATAGGAAGGTTAGTCACTTGCCTGAATCACAAAGCCAGAAAAAGCAGGTCTCAGAACCCAGGCAGTCTGTGTTCTTGAAACAGTTTCGGAATGCTTCTTTGTTTAACATGTTAATACTAAAAAAGATTAAAGCAGAGTTATGTCCCCTGCTGTCTGTTTTGTCTTTCATTATAATTAGTCTTCATCTTTTCATGTCATTTTTTATATCCTCTTCTGTGAAATTTTCTTCTGAGAGAATAAGAATGACTCATGAAATCATCTGCCCTATTAGACATTACAAGAGTAGAACCTATGTGTTATTTGTATTTAAATATTTTTAATGAAAAGCTAATTTTATTTTGCTTTATGAGCACATAATTATATATGCCTCTTTTTCATTTGTTTTGTATTAGACGTCTTCTCCCAATAGTGAGATGAACTATCAAAGTTCTTTATCACTTTGTAAGCTAAAAGAGAAGTCTGTTCCCACACCTGTATCAGCCCAAATGACTTCAAAGTCTTGTAAAGGGGAGAAAGAGGTTGATGACCAAAAAAACTGCAAAAGAAGACGAGCCTTGGACTTCTTGAGCAGACTGCCTTTACCTCCACCTGTTAGTCCCATTTGTACATTTGTTTCTCCAGCTGCACAGAAGGCATTTCAGCCACCACGAAGTTGTGGCACCAAGTATGAAACACCTATAAAGAAAAAGGAATTGAGTTCTCCTCAGTTAGCTCCACTTAAAAACTTTCATGACATTTCTGTTGTAGAAGGCGATTCGATAGCTGACGAAGAACTTGCATTGATCAATACCCAGGCCCTTTTGTCTTGTTCAGCAGGAAAAAAACAACTCGTATCAATGGGTGAGTCCACTAGGACTGCTCCCACCCCTATGGTCACAAAGCAGAATTCCCACGTCAGTACTGGAGGAACAGGAGACTCTGTTCAGGACACAAGTACAATACAAGATACATCTAAGAGACTGCAAAGGCAACAGAACCGAAAACAACAAAAATTAGTTACTGACGCTTAACCTTTTCAGTTTGTAACAACATGCAGTTTCAAAGCACACACCCATATCTGCAAAATGAGAAATGGTTCCAAATCTACCTCAGTACTCATGTATCACAGGAATGCTCTTTGCCTGCTTCTATATTGGTATACTTTTATTTCAGTTCTAAACCTTAAAACTGTTTGTTTATTAACCAAGGAAAAATCTTTATGATGGGATTTGCTCACTACAAGTATTTTACAAATGAACTATGAACTCTTTTTGTTTAGATTGTGTCCTTAATTAAATGAAACTAGGTTTCTCAGCAGAGTTATTTTGACTCACATAATTCCTACTTTAGTTTCTTTTTGTGTATGTGTTTTTAGAGGTAACCTACTATGAACCACTTTTCCTTAATGCACATGTTAGTTGTACTGTAGTTCTGTCCTGATCAAAAATTGGACTAAGATATGACTGGTGCTTGCTTTTGATCAAAGTGTTTATTCTTAAGTGTGTAACTACAAGAAAAATAGAACCCTTAGTATAATTAATTCCTTTATATGATCCCAATGTAATCTCTGAAATTATTTCAATTAAAAATTCAAGTATTCTAATTCAGAAGTAGATTTCATAGTGTTAATTTTGTCTTTTAAAGCAATCCTGATTCTACCTGCCTCACAGGAAGTGCTAATGTTCCCTTTACGCCTTGTTCTCTCAGCACACCCGTCTGGGCAAAGGTAACAGTTCAAGATGATATTCTCATTTTTACTTTCTTGTGTTTAATAGAAAAGAGAAAAAGCAGTTCTAACTACAAACTTACTAGTATAATTATGGAGAAGCTCTCTAATAGGGTCTTTCGATGTCTTAAAATGTATATCTAACATATATGTGTGTATATGCTTTAATTACAGTTTACATTCAGTATTTTTTTAATATTTTTTATTGATTTTTTTACAGAGAGAAAGGGAGAGGGATAGAGAGCTAGAAACATCGATGAGAGAGAAACATTGATCAGCTGCCTCCTGCACACCCCTTTCTGGGGATGTGCCTGCAACCAAGGTACATGCCCTTGACCAGAATTGAACCTGGGACCCTTCAGTCCTAAGGCCGATGCTGTATCCACTGAGCCAAACTGGTTAGGGCTCAGTATTATTCTTTATTAGTTCCAGGTGTATTCAGAAGCATAGTGGGTAATGTTTTCAAATCTATTTATAAACATTTGAAAGCCAAAGATAAATTCTTTTATGAAGCAGTTGTTTCTTTCTTTAACTATAATCCGTGATTTTCTCTCCTCTAAAAATTATTAACATAAGTAGTCCATTCCACTAGTCTTTTTTACCTTGTGCTCTGCCCTTCTTATTGTGATTTAGGTTTTGTTCATAAAATAATTTGGTGTAATCATTTTCCTGGTGATTCATTCTAGAACAGGGAATAAAACTTAAGTTTCAGGAACAAACAGAATTATAATAATTTAACCTTTTTTTTTAGCCTCGAGAAATTTAACTGCTGTTACCGCCTCTGTTATTCATTACTACATAGACTACTTGTAAGAGAGCGACTTAATGCACATCCTCCTTTTCATAAATTGTAAATAATGTAGCTAAGCTATACGAGAAAAAATATGAAGCTTGAGAATATGTGAGAGCCTCTTTGCATAGAAAGCCCTACTACGCCTCTTCAATGAGTTGTGGAAACATTAACACACAAAATAATATATGTCAGCATTGAGGGTTTGAAAAGTATATAGATCAGAGAAATAGATCACTTCTAGCAGGGATATGTAAAGTTGATGGCATTTGACTAATTATTTTTATGTTTCCTTACCAAATATTTTAGGTATTATATGGAGGATCTGGGAGAGGGGGGAGGTAAAAGAGGCAAATAGACCAGGAAACTATTCTTCTGAACTCTGTAAGAGCTCTGGATCTATAACCTGGGGCCACTTCTCCCTAGTGGTCACTTAGGTCTACTAGCCCAAAAGTCCTAAAGAAAGGGCCAGGAAAACTGGGAGGGCTTGAATTCTGACCCTTTTGGATTCTTTGTAATCAAAGGAAGGTAATTCCAGTTGGGGTTCTCTGACACTCACTCCTTCCTTCTACTAACCTAAATGAGTCAAGCCCTCCTGATTGAGTGAATTCAGCAATAATCACATTGACTAGACTCTGGATTACCTTGGCCTGGACAGCAGTATTATGTGAATTATGATTATTAGAGGATTATTGTGGAACATGTTTGCTTAGACACACAGAACTTAGTAAAATGATAATACCTTAGATCTATTGAAATTCACTGTATTTTAGTTTCATCAGTCAAACTTGGGTTACTCAAAGGAGATGCCAATTTTAAAATGTTAATGAACAATTACAAATGCATTGCTGGTTGCTGGTTGTCATCAAGATGTTGAGAGTTCAATAGAGCCAGATTATGGAATGTCAAAGTAAAATAGTCTTTCTAAAGTGCATAGATAAAAATAATTTATGTAAGCAAGTAAAAAATAAGGTTAATTTTGTCTTTTATATCCTATTTATTAAAGAAGATTGGTAAATAAGTTTATGATATAGGAAATTTGGTTTTTCTTTTTTTTTAAACCCTCACCTGAGGATTTTTTTCCCTCCATTGATTTTTAGAGAGAGAGAAAAAGGGAGGCAGAGCAGGGAGAGGGGGAAGAGAGAGAGAGACAATGCAAGAGACAATGATGTGAGACACATGCCCCAACTGGGGTTGGGAATTAAACCTGCAACCAAGGTACATGCTCTTGATCAGGAATCAAACCCAAGACTCTTCAGTCCTTGGGCTGACGCTCTAACTACTGAGCAAAACTGGCCAGAGTGAAAAACTGTATCTTAATATGGTAGAATTCTGTGGGATTTAGGTAAATTTTTTATATTGTTGAACAAAAAAGGCAATTCAATGACAAACCCATATAAAGCAATACTATATACTATAATTTTTAATAATCATAAAAGCACCATTATATAAGACATTTAAAATAATACTTCACAGAACATTAGCGAGAAGCTGTAGTCAACAAGAAATAAAGCACACATCCTACATGTTCTTACCTATTTTGGGTCTCACGAAATCTGATTCCTCTATTCAGATTTAATTTGGATTCACAAATTCAGTATTGGTTTGAGGGATACTCCAGAGTTGTGGTAGAACTTCACTGTCCTTTTTTTTTTTTTTTTAATATATTTTATTGATTTTTTACAGATGGATAGAGAGTTAGAAACATCGATGAGAGAGAATCATCGATCAGCTGCCTCTTGCACACCCCTACTGGGGATGTGCCCGCAAACAGGGTGCATGCCCTTGACCCGAATCGAACCTGGGACTTTTTAGTCCGCAGGCCAAAGCTCTATCCACTGAGTCAAACCGGTTTCGGCGAACGTCATTGTCTTGATGTCATAAAACACCAACATGGCTCACCTATCCCTCTGTGACCTGTTCCTGGGATGCTTAATTTCTTGTACTCCCAAACACTGGGGCTGCCCACTAATTACACTTATAAGCAAAATTTTAAAAGTTGCTTAATGATTCATCTTAAAAATTGATGTTTTATAAAGAAGGCTTGTTTTATTTATTAGCACATCAGCCAAAAGTTATTCAGATTTAATACTGTTCAATACAGTGGTAGTTAAAACATAAAACTATAAACAGTTGACTTCAAATAATGACACTGATTTTCCTCAGTAGCTGGTATAGGTATTAAGAAGGATTTGACATTTTTAACAATGACATGTCATTAGAATAAAGGAATAATTTCCCAAAGTGTCTACTTTGAAGGAAAGTATTCCTTTATATGTATACTTTTTAGTATATTCTTTTTAAAGGAAAATCAGTTTCATCATTACAGCCATATATTTCACATTTTTGGATACATAGATTTAAAAAGTAGCAATGGTACTAAAATTTTTCCTGCCTCTCATCTTTTCTCCCATCTTTCCAACTTTCCTGATAGAGATGAATTCCTGAAAAAATAGATTACTTCAGAGAAAGTGGTATTGAAGCTTATATTTACTGTAAACACTTTATGAACCTATGTGACTAATTGATTACATTCTTGGGTATGTTTCTCAGGTTTCATCTTCAAATTAATTGTTTCCCTAGAGAGAGTGACTTGGTCTAACCAAACCTGCAGAACTCCCAGCATCAGGCCATGCATAGAGCATCACTAACAAATGTCTGATGAAGATGAATATGATGACTTCTGCTCAAAAACATTCAGGTTCAACTATTTACACTGGAATTAGGACTCTGACTAAAACCGAACAAAGAATAAATACCGAAAATGGAAGTAAAAACTGATTTAGGAAAACGCTGCCTGTAAGCGCAGCCTCTAACACCCACTGTGGCAGCCGCCCCTCCTGGTGAAGGCGCTCTCCTGGGCAACGCGCCCGCGGCTCCGCGGGAACCCCGCGCAGGTGCTCCAGGGTCCCGCCCCACTGGAAGGCGGTGCTCCGCTCCTGTCCTGGCTTCTGTTCACTCTGCTTGGCTTTTCTGCGCGGAGCACACTGTGGAAGGTAACACCGTGTTCATATCGTTCTTTCATTCGGTGTATTTTTTCTCTTGGGACTCCATGAATGTTTCTTCTACATGGGAAAACATGCAAACCGTTAAGGCCATATATCCAAGTGAATTACTCGTATTTTACAAGTCCTGTAGTATTACACACACATGCACTCTATCCTCAGGGTTTAACTGTGACAAACGCATAACTTGTTTTGCAGCCCTCCTCCAGGCTCCACTCCTGTTTTTCCATGCTGCCCTGCACACCTAACCCACCCTGCGCCTTAGAGAGCTAATGCATCAGAAATTCTGTGCTTCAAGACACAAAGGAACACCAGGAGATCTTTTTATGGTATATTTGCTTGTTAAGCATGAATATATCAATTTACGTGAGTCCATCCTCAACACTTCTAAATGCTTATTCAAACAATCTTAAATCCTAGTGGGCGTGAGAATCAACTGGGGATATAAATCACAATGTAATCCCAGAGATTCCAATTATGGAAAGGGAGCCAGAAACTAGGATTTTTAACATCCAGCTCTTGTGGTTGCAGTTCACAAATCCACTTTGGAAACACTGTATCTCCTTTTAACCGTAAGATAAACTAGCCTTATTCCTAAAAAGGAAATTCTGTTTTCACTGGTTACTTAAATCATTGGCATTATCAAATAACACAGACAATATCACAACCCATGCATTCAATCAACAAGTTAGTATTATTTGGACATTTATTGCTTATAAATTAGAAGTAGCATTTGGACCACAAATGAACCACAGACTTTGCAGCATCTAAAGATATTTATTTAGCCTAAATGCAAAAACACCACTGACATGTATAATTCCATGCAGAAGAAAGTGCTTTTAAATGTTCATTAATGAAGAAGCATTTTAGCCAAATGTTAAATGTATTCTTTTGGAGGACTCAGTTCAAGCCAAGATTTTAGCATTTAGCATTATATTAGAAAACTGACTCAAAACTAAAGTCTTCACATTAATAACTTACAAGTTATCAGTTTCTAAGAATTACCATTTTTGGCCTGAAACTACCATGTCCATTTCCAGCCTGAAAAGATTCTTTTGTTCGGTCTGAAATACCTGAAAACAGCAGGACATATAATGAGGAGCTAGGAAAACACAGAAGTACCTGGCTAACTCTTGAACGTTGAATTTCCAGCGAGTCTCGGGTTCTCGGAATATTACTTCATAGTTATTTTCAAGTGCCTAATTTTCCAAAAGTACATAAAACATTGAACACACGGCATGTATGCATGGAATTTGTTCATACTGGCATTAAACATTCACTGCATATCTTTTATAAACTGTCCATGAGCAAACACCTCAATGTCTTCTCAGAGTCCCTTATCGGATTATCATAGATTTATGTCTTTCAAATGCCTTGTCCTATTCCTCATGACTTGGTTAGGAAATGGTGGTGCCACAGAAGCAGAGCTTATGAAATAAAAGTGATTTCCTCATCCTTTACATACTCTTCCTTCCAAAAGCAGCTCAGTGTGGCTCAGTACACTGTTCCCATTTCCTTGTTAGAAAACTTACAGCTTGCATATAAACACCCAAATATCCTTTGAATTCATAAATTCACTGTTTTTATCTCAAATTGAACTCTCACTAATAAAAGTTGAATGAAAAGAGTTAAGTAAAAAGCTTTCCTATTCATTCTTGAGATGAACACTTCTAATTAGGAAAGGAGTTAAGCATCCAATATGGAAAATAACTAATTTCTGGATCTTATTAATAGCTATGGATGGCTGAAAAAGATTATACATATCCAGAAAATAAAAAGTAACATGAGTCTTAGCCGGTTAGGCTCAGTGGATAGAGCGCTGGCCTGCAAACTGAAAGGTCCCAGGTTCGGTTCCAGCCAAGGGCACATGCGCAGGTTGAGGGCTCGATTCCCAGGGAGGGGGCTTACAGGAGGCAATGATCAATGATTCTCTCTCATTCTTGATGTTTCTATCTCTTCTCCCTCTTCCTTTCTCTCTAAATCAAAATAATATATGTATTTTTTAAAGTAACATGACTTCCCTTAAGTGACTTTCAGTTCTTGTGGTTTTGAGTTGTGCCTTAATTAACCCTTTGCACTCCGCTGTCCCCTCTCAGGGGACATCGGAATTCTAGCATATCACTCGGACGTCCCCTCTCAGGGGGGACATTGCAGTTTATTAGTGATTACGGGGAATTGAGTTAATTCAACGCACGTGTCTGCCGCAAAGTAGCTTCGAGTAGCTGGTAGCCAATGTCCAGAATGGTTCGGAGTGCAAAGGGTTAACTTCCCTCTTCGCATCCCTGTTCATTTCTCTCCCAAGTGGACTCTTGATCCATGAACTGAAGTGACCACAACGATAATGTTCATTCCCTCCTGCTTTCACCAAAGCCCCACCCTTGGGGCCTACATGAAGTTGATGAGAATATAGTTAGAAAAAAACATGCCTGCATATAAGCTATTTTACCCAAAATGTGCAAGAGACCTAAAACATTGCCTTGAGCCCAGTTTGGGAGCTATTCATGTGACAAAAGCTGAACCTCCAGCTGTCTTCTTCCTGCCCCTGATTGTGTCTGGATCTTTTCTCCTTCCTCCACCCAATAGGGAATGAAAAGTCACTAGTATAAGAGATGAAACATGTCTGAAAACAAGTCAGACTCTTTAAAGAAAAATGTGCACACAGTATTCATCCTATTGTTTTTTCCTATTCTGACAAGAGTTGAATGGTTATATTTGCATGCTAGTGTCTTAATAGGATTATAGTGTTAATCTTAAATCTGTTTTTAAACTAAAGACTTTATTGCCCTGAAACTCCCCTGCAGCAACAATATCTAGTACTGAACTCTCCGGCTAGTGAAAAGCAGACTGTCCTAATAAAATCCATAACTCTGTTCATCCAATTTCTCTGCAAGTTCTGTGGGTACTCCACATGGACCTTCCCTTAGGAAAACAAGACAGAAAAGCTATCAAAAATTCTGATCCAGGACTATTTACAACTTGTACCCTTAAAGTGATAATAGCATGTCAGCAAATTTGAGCCATTGAACAGCAGAGGAACATAAAAATAACTGCTTTACCTGCTCTGTGAGACACTGTTAATACATAAGAGATCGTGGAAGATCAGAAAATGAGAAAAGAACAAAAGTTTCAACTTTCTCACAAAACGTCCATAACTGAAAATTCAGAATGATACTTCTTCCTACCATGACTGCATAGGGCTTCATTTCCCAGGCGTGGAGGTTGGTATTATCAATAATAATGGGGGTTATGCCATTCCTCATTGCTTTTCTTGCTGCAACACAATGTTATACAACAGTGAACAACATGCAACAGTGAGACAGAAAGGGCGAGCATACCCATATCTTGCCATTTTATTACAGCATGTCCTCATCACACAAAGTTAATGCTGCGTATTTCAGGACCCATTATCAATCATTTTCCTGGAATCTAGGAAGGTTTGGCATTCTGTTTGGGGGGAGGGGAGAGTGGCAATTAAATGCATCATTCTGCAGCAGCTACACTCTAAGTGCACAAGAGGATTTCTCAGGAGTTTAAGAAAGAATTTGTCACCTCTTTTCTGGTTCCACTCATGAGCCTCCTCTAGGAAGTCTGGATTGAACTCATAGGTGCCATCTTCCCTGAAGAAAAAGTCGTCCGTGCTGAAAATCAGGGCCCTGGGAAAGTCGTGTTGCAATTGTCTAGAAAGTGAGGAAGAAGAGACTGTTTGATGACCGCGCATTGTTGGAATAGAAAATCATCTTCTCTTTCTAACATTTAGCAATTTGTAATTATGAGACCACCAGGTTTTGAGTTGTTGAAATTTAATTTAAAAACAGAGATGCTTATTATCTTTAGAAGGTCCTGCTCCTACCAAAGAAGCAGGAGTGGGCCAAGTGCCTAACTCTTGACACTGAGCAGTGCTGTCGCTGCCACTGGCTCCTGCAGCAGCCAGGACTGACTGGAGAAAACGAAGCTGACAGTGGGATGACAATCTTTCCTTATGGGCCCCAGCTCCTTCTGCTGTTCTTCTGGGATGTACCAGTGCCCTTCTCTTCTCCCCTAAACTCTCACCTGTCCCGGGTCCCATCTCCTGGAACTCTGCTCTCTCTAAGGACCCATCTCAGAAACTAATTCTTGCTCAAATATGAAATGTAGATAAAAGTGATGGGAGTGTACTATCCCTACTAGGTAGCATTTTTACATTTTTTAAAACATATTGTTACTATAGGCCAGGTGCATGGAAATGCATGCACTGGAGGGGAAGTCCCTCAGCCAGGCCTGCCTCCTCTCACAGTCTGGGAGCCCTAACAGCGGGAGGCGACCTGGCAATCGGGAAGGCAACGCGCCCATCACACCTCTGTGCCACTGTCAGCAGTGCAAGCTTAAGCCAGCCGTGGTTACCTGAGTCTTGGGTGGCCCTGAGCGGCTGGGCAGCTGCCATCTGAGGCTTGCCTGAGCCTCGAGCCAGCCCTGGGTGGCTGTGGGGCTGAAGGGCCTGGGTGCCGCCATCTTTGAGGGTGTGGCTGTCAATTAGCATATTCCCTCCTTCTTGGCTGTGGGTGCTGCCATATTTAAGGGCAGGGCAGTCAGTTAGCATACTCCCTCCCTATTGGCTGTGGGCACTGCCATCTTTGCGATGGCATGAGGGTCAATTATTGTATTCTCTCTTTATTAGATAGGACTGATTTCAGAGAGGAAGGGAAAGGGGGAGAGAGAAACATCAATGATGAAAGAGAATCATTGATTGACTACCTCCTGCCCACCCCATACGAGATCAAGCCCACAACCTGGGCATGTGCCTGACTGGGAATCCAACTATGACCTTCTAGTTCATAGGTTGACACTCAACCACTGAGCCATGCAGGCTGGGCCGTATTTACATTTTAATAGTGACCCAAACCAAATGAAAACACAATAGGAGAAGGAAAGAGGTAGGCCCAACATTCCCCACATCTTCCTAAATCTGTCACTCCCTCTAAATATGAAAATATGAGAAAATAAATAAATAAAACTACCATGGAGTCGTCCCCCCCCAACCCCGTTTAAAAAAGAAAAAAAAGAAAATAAGCACATTAACTTATGCACAAAATAACAAGATATTTTCACTTAAAATACTTATTTAGACTTTCTTAGGGGAGGAGACATATTATGCGAGGTAATAGGTGGATAAACCCGAGCTTCCTCATCTGTAAAGGTCGAGGGCACTGACACCCATCTTGCTCGGTGATGACAATCTATAAAATAAAAGCCTAAGCGACCGTTACGGCAGAACACCCGTCGCTATGACGCACACCGACCACCAGAGGCAGACACTCAACACAAGAGCTGCCCCAGCTGTCAGGGCCCTCCCACAGGGGAGCACTGCTCAGCCAGAGCCGGGCTCACAGCTGGCGAGCTCTCCCTCCACAGCAGCGATGTGAGCAGCGAGCCAAGTGGTAAGGAGCAGCGAGCAGGCGGGCAGTAGGCAGTGAGGGGTCCTAGATTGTGAGGGGGACGTTGACTGCCAGGGGGAGCGGGCCCATCAGGGGTCCCAATCTGGAGGGGTCCCAAATTGCAAGAGGACACAGGCCAGGTTGAAGGACTCTCCTCCCCCGCATGAATTTTGTGCATCGGGCCTCTAGTGATCTAATAACATGGGAAAGTACCTAGGACAACCCCTGACAACAGTGAGTGTGTTTCTTTCCTTTATCCCTACAGCACTCGCCAGCCTAATTCTAACTTCAAGACAAATTCCATCTGGCTGGTGTGGCTCAGTGATTGAGTGTCAAGTTATGAACTCTTCTCCTCGTTTGTTCATCTCCATCAAGAAAAATCATCTCTGGACAGGAAAGAACAGAATGAATGGGAAGCACTGGGGCCACAGGTGGCAGTGAACACCTACATCACTGAGAAAGACGTGGGTTCAGGTATTGCCTCTGCCCCTTCTGGTCATGTGACCTATCTCTCTAAGCTTCTGTTTTCTTTACTAAAAAATACAAATTAAGCAGAGCTGCTAATCCAGCCGGCATGGCTCAGTGGTTGAGTCATGAGGTCACGGTGGATTCCAAGTCAGGGCACATGCCCAGGTTGCAGGCTTGAGCCCCAATGTGGGGTGTGCAGGAGGCAGCCAATCAATGATTCTCTCTCAATGCTGATGTTTGTATTTTTCTCCCTCTCTCTTCCTCCCTGAAATCAATAAAACTGTTAAAAGTAAACAGACCTGCCCTAACTGGTTTGGCTCAGTGGAAAGAGCATCGGTCTGCGGACTGAAGGGTCCCAGGTTCAATTCTGATCAAAGGCATGTATCTTGGTTGCAGGCACATCCCCAGTAGGGGGCATGCAGGAGGCAGCTGATTGATGTTTCTCTCTCATCAATGTTTCTAACTCTCTATTCCTCTCCCTTCCTCTCTGTAAAACAAATCAACAAAACATATATTTTTAAAAATAAATAAATAAAAATAAACGGAGCTGCTAGCAAGGCTAAAATGAGATAAGGGAAAACACTTTGAAAATGGTAAAGCACTTTACAACTGCAAAGTACTGGTATTTTATTAATAACTAGAGGCCTGATGCACAAAATTCATGAAAGAGTAGGCCTTTGCAGCCATGACAGCTGCCTTGATCCCTCCCTCACAGCCATAGCCCTGGCTTCATCCAGATGGTGGTCATTCTGCTGTTTGGCCATTTGGTCAATTTGCATATTACACTTCTATTATTATGGACTAATGGCCCAGTGCACAAAATTCGTGCATGGGGTGGGGGTCTCCCTCAGCCCAGCCTGCACCCTCTCCAATCTGGGACCCCTCAGAGGATGCCAGTTTAGGCCTGATCCCAGCAGTCAGACACCTTTCTCACAATCCAGGACTGCTAGCTCCTAACGGCTCACCTGCCTGCCTGATCACCCCTAACCACCTCTGTCTGCTGACCTGCTCGCTCCCAACTACCCCCCCCCCCACTGGCATGATTGCCCCTAACTGCCTCCCCTGCCAGCCTGCTCATCCCCAACTGCTCCCCCTCTGCTGGCCTGCTCACCTCCAACTGCCCCCCCCCTCGTTGGCCTGATCAGCCCCAGCTGCCCTCTCCTGTCCTGATTGCCCCTAACTGCCTCTGCCTTGGCCCCGCCACCATGGCTTTGTCCGAAAAGTCTCCCGGTCTAATTAGCATATTACTCTTTTATTAGTATAGACTAGAGCACATGTGTCAAACACAAGGCCCCCGGGCCAAATCCGTCCCGCCAGGCCTTGCAATGTGGCCCGCACCGCGCTGTCATCACTGCACTCCGCTGCGTTTCCATCACAATGACAGTTTATGACTGTTCAGTAAACCATTCGGCCCGCGATTTAGGCTGGATTTTAGATTTTGGCCCCTTCTCTGATTGAGTTTGACACCCCTAGACTAGAGGCTCGATGCATGAAGATTCATATAAAAATGGGCCTTCCTTTCCCTGGCTGCGAGCACCATCTGTGCTTCAGTCTGGAGCCGCCTTTCTGCCCTCCCACGCTGCCCAGAGGCCTGGAGCAGCTGGGGTGGTGCGGAACGCCCTCATCGTGGCCACAGTGGCGTCCCACCCCACCCCGGCTGCTCGTGCCTGTGTATGCAAGTTAACCTGCTGCCATCTTTGTTTGGTTAATTTGCATACCCACTCTTGATTGGCTGGTGGGTGTCATGAAGGTACGGTCAATTTGCATCTTTCTCTTTTATTAATGTAAACTAGAGGCCTGATGCACAAAATTTGTGCATGGGGAGGGGGGTCCCCCAGTCCAGCCTGCACCCTCTCCAATCCTGGACCCCTTGGGGGATGTCCAACTGCCTCTCGCAATCTGAGACTGCTGGCTCCTAACCGCTCACCTGCCTGCCTGCCTGCCTGCTCACCCCTAACCACCTCTGCCAGCCTGCCTGCCTGATTGGCCCTAACTGCTCCACTGCTGGCCTGATTGCTCCTACCCACCTCTGCCTTGCCACGCACCCAGGACCCGGGATTCCCTCCTCCAGCTGGTCACAGGCACCTGGGACCCGGGATTCCCTCCCTCTGGCTGGCCACAGGCACCTGGGACCCGGGATTCCCTCCCTCTGGCTGGCCACAGGCACCTGGGACCCGGGATTCCCTCCCTCTGGCTGGCCACAGGCACCTGGGACCCGGGATTCCCTCCTCCAGCTGGTCACAGGCACCCAGGACCCGGGATTCCCTCCTCCAGCTGGTCACAGGCACCTGGGACCCGGGATTCCCTCCCTCTGGCTGGCCACAGGCACCTGGGACCCGGGATTCCCTCCCTCTGGCTGGCCACAGGCACCTGGGACCCGGGATTCCCTCCTCCAGCTGGTCACAGGCACCCAGGACCCGGGATTCCCTCCTCCAGCTGGTCACAGGCACCCAGGACCCGGGATTCCCTCCTCCAGCTGGTCACAGGCACCTGGGACCCGGGATTCCCTCCTCCAGCTGGTCACAGGCACCTGGGACCCCGGGATTCCCTCCCTCTGGCTGGCCACAGGCACCTGGGACCCGGGATTCCCTCCCTCTGGCTGGCCACAGGCACCTGGGACCCGGGATTCCCTCCTCCAGCTGGCCACAGGCACCTGGGACCCGGGATTCCCTCCTCCAGCTGGCCACAGGCACCTGGGACCCGAGATTCCCTCCTCCAGCTGGTCACAGGCACCTGGGACCCGGGATTCCCTCCCTCTGGCTGGCCACAGGCACCTGGGACCCGGGATTCCCTCCCTC